CCATTCGAATCCTCTTGGTTTTCACATTTCCTCCTGTTCCATTCCTGATAACCTCCGAGGCGTCTGAAAAGTGATCTCCTCGTGTAGACATATTATTAGAGTGTTACCAATGGGTAGTTTCTCAACCAGAGTTTTCATGTGATTATATTCCTCTGTACATATTTACTTGATGAATTTATACTAATACAGTTGTAAATATTATAAATAAAAAAATATAAATAATATAATATAAATTTTACAATATTTTTTGGAAGCCTGTTATCCCAAAACAGAAACATTCTTAATTTATTATTTTAATTATTAATCAAGCAATAGTCCTAGACCGCTTTTTATCAAACTGTGAATCATATCTTACCCTACAAATTTTTGATCTCCACAAAATCTTAGACGGGACGTTTTCTCATTAAATTAATTACAGTTTTTTTTAGAGTTTATTAGCTAATAATTACAATTTGGTCCGACCAGATGGCAACATCTATCCGTCGATGATAATAAAGATAAGTTAAGAATTTTTACATAGTTCCTTTTTTTTTTCATTCAAACAATTTTAATATAATACAATTCTAACTTAGTATAATAAGACAATATAGTATACTGATATAATAAATTATAACATAATGATAATGAAATATAATATATATTTATATACTAAATAGCAATGTATGAGATATATAAGATCATATAATATAATATAAAATACAAATGATAATTAAGATTACACATAGGTATATAGCTAGCCATCATGGAGTTAAATTTATCAACTTAAGTAATTGTATAGATGTCCATTACGTGATAATTGATTTAAAAAGATATTAACAACTCTTGAACACCCACTAGCTTTCCAATTGAGTTGTAAGATAATTTTATCACAAGATCGAGTATATTGGATAGTTGTTAGTTCCTCATTAAATTAATCGATTTAACTATTTAATCAACTACCAATTATTTAATGAGAAAACGCCACATTTCTGAGTATTTTCGTAGATAAAAAAATTATGATGAAGCTATTCCACGAAATTTTAGAAGGATGTTAATAATTCGATAAAAAGGAATCTGTAGCTCTGACCAAAAGTGTTACAAAAAGAAAATTAAAAAACTATAGATTTGTTTTTAATCCATTAATTTTACACACAGTCACTTCTAATAATTTTTTTTTAAAACTTATTTATTGAAAAATATTACAATCCGTCTCTAGGACATTTATAATAGAGTTCACAGATCACATTCACACTCTATGTACAATAAATAAAATAAATTAAACAGAAAAATATATATACAATAAATAAGAATAAAATAACCTAAAAATAAATAAATAAAAAGAACACATACACACCTATATACAGTATTACTTCTAATAATTAAATAACATGAACAGCAAAAAAAATAACGAGAAATATAAAAATAACTATTTTAATTATAATTACGTACTTATAATATCGGTTGAATATATATATATTTTTTTTTTTATAAAATATATTAATAATATAATAGAACGATTTAAAGATGTATTATATTTTATATTTGCTTCGGTTTGAAGAAATATTCTAGATTTATTATAAGTGAACTTTTAATTTAATAATATTTATTTTTGATAATTGGAAATTAATAAGATGCCATTACAATAGATATAATAAAATAATTGATAAAATCAGTGCCTGTTTTAGACATTTGGCACCCCTAGACAATGTCGTCATCCCTCCCGCTCCCCATCGCATTATATTATGAAATATTTAAATTTGATTTCATTCAATATTTATCTAAGACAGATGGTTCATTAATAGGCTAACATTAATTATTTTAATAAATTGTTTTAACATATTTTTTAATTTTTAAAAAAGGCGAACTAGTTCCCCAGTTGCCCGGCCATACTGTACTAAACATAATCATTTCTATTAAATAATAATCAATCTGTACAATGAAGTTTATACATTGTTTTCACGAGAACCAATATACTTCGCTTATAATTATAGTTAAATACTTTAAATATATTATTACATGTGGGCTACAACTGTCTTATTGTCAAAACCAGCCTTGAACTGGGCATAACTATTGAAGGATCAGGTATTGTTCCTCACCCCTTGAGTACAAAGGATCCAGACGAAAGGCTTCCAACAGATAGGCATTGTGAAATTCGGTCCACTTTCAGCTAAGGTCAGCCAGGACGAAGAAACATGGATGGTCTCACACGTAGCGTCTAGACGGTTGTTTTTTGTTTTGTTTTTTCAACATTGCGTGGAAGGAACTAGCGTGTGCGTTTTTTTATTTTTAGCGATTTCCGTCTTTTGGGTTAATTTTACACTAACATAATTCGTTTATAAAATATAAGGCTATGTTTACTTATAAGAATATTGTTATTAACCTTTGGTACTGCTATGTCGTTACTATTGAAGTATGCATTAGCTTTAATCTTCATAATAAAAGATTCCATCAACATCAACATTTATACAAATATCACTTATTTTTATTTTTTCTATTTTACATGTTTCGAATCTAATAGGAGTTTTTTTTTTAAATTCTTTAAAAGCTTCTGACGACAATATAATTTAGTGATAATAAAAATAAGGCAAGTAATATAATCTTATAATAGATTGATTAGTAAGCTGTGTGTATTTAGAAACCTAGTATTCTCATTGAATTAATTACAGTTTTTTAGCCAATGATTACAATTTCGATGGCAACATCTATTTAGAAAGTAATGTATTTGGGTTAATGTAATTTTTATACAATTTTTTAAAAAATAGTGACACTTAAGATTCCCTATAAAATTACCTAGAATTAGGTTTAGTCTTTTGGCCAATAGTATATCTAAGAATATTTATATGATAGATTTAATTTTATGGGTTTAATAAACACAAAATAAATTTTGTAATTGCTGTAATTTAGGTTTCTATATTGTTTTAGATAGAACAGTAAAATGCAATAAATCTATTCTGCTTGTCAGAGTTTGTGTATTCATAATCTTGAACTTCTTCATCATAAATACTCAATGCCCTTAATTGAGGCAAAATGTATTTTTTCTTCCTCTCAATAAAAAAAACAATCTTGAACTTCAACGTCTTCGTCACGTGTACAAGGAATGTAATCTCAACTTATCACTGGAGAGGGGCGTTTAAAATACCGAAAATTTTTTAGTTCAGAGGTTATTTGAAAAACAACTTACAAAAAAAAAAAAATTTCGATCAATACTTTTTTTTTTAATAATAATAATAAACTTATTTATTGAGCAATTTTACAAATGCCTTTTGGCATATTTTGTAAATGTGATGTTCGTTAGCGAACCTCCTCTCCGGTATTAGCGTGAATACGTGATTGGAGAAAGCTCCCAGTGAAGGCACTCCTAACGTGACTCTTAATGCAGCAGATCCCTGCTCCAGAGGCGTTTGAGTCTCCTTGGTGGATTCTGTGGTAGTGTGTCTGTTAGTAATGTTTGTATAAGTGGATTAGGATGTCCAGCTAAGGACTCATGAAAATTTTTGTAATATTTTTTAATTACATCAGTCACTTGTGGTGTTTGTAGGTCTTTATGAAGTGATTTATTGGTTATGTAGAAGGGACAATGAGTGATATACCGGAGAAATTTAGATTGGAAAATTTGAATAGTCTGTAAGTGTGTTTTTTTTTTCATGAACCCCACACCTGAGAGGCATACGTCCATATTGGTCTGAATAGCATGTTGTATATAGTAATTTTGTCAGAAAGTGATAGTTTGTTTTTATGGTGTAGCGTTCGTATTAGTAGTGACAACCGATGGTTCAATCTCTTTTTTAATGTAGTCACGTGTGATTTCCAGGTCAGTCGTCTGTCCATTGTGACTCCTAGATATTTTTTCTTTGTATGATTTGGCAAAGGGGTATTGTAAAGTGTCAGTGGAGGGCAATCCGAACGTTTAAGTGTAAATGTAACCTGATTTGATTTTTGAATGTTAATTTTTATGCGCCATTTATCAAGCCGGCTGATTGTAAATAAAGTGTGAATGTTTTTCTTTTTTATATATTAAGTATGAATGTTTTTCTTTTTTATATATTAAGTATGAATGTTTTTCTTTTTTATATATTATGTATGAATGTTTTTCTTTTATATATATATATCTATTTGTTTTACTTATTATTATTATTTTTTTTTTAATTTGAATTCAAGTTACATTTCTTTAGTTTTATAGTTTTTACCTTTGTTATATAGATATATATTTTTTTATTAATTTTTTTTTTTTTATTGCATTGTATATATAGTATGAATGAGCCTCACTCAGCTTTAGTACTCAGTGCCCTTAAATGTGGCAAAATGTATTATTTCTCAATAAAAAGATTTAAAAAAAAAAAATTATCAAGCCATCCTTGTAGAAGATTTAAATAAATCTGTGCTTTCAGAGATGCTGTGATTACGGATTAGAGTCAGTCAAGAGTATGACAGTGTCGTCTGCGTAAGTTGCGAGTAATGTGTCTGGTGTCTGTGGAATATCAGAAGAGTAAATTGAGTACAGAACCGGACCTCAATCAATACATAGATAAATTTAGTCGAGTTCTGTTTTTAGTCTAGATCTGTTTTTAGTCGTGATAATTTGTAAATTTTACTGAATACATGTTGTGCAATGTGTAAATTTAATGATTTTATAAGATACTTATACGGTTCAATTTTACGATCAGTTTTTGTTATAGGTTTATTTTAAAGCTGCACGTTAGCTTTGCACTCTCTCAAGATACTTTCCTTATTTTCATAATGCTCTTTCATTCTTTCCAATCTCACTGATTTACCCCATTTTTTATTATTTTAACATTATAACCCTCATTATAATTGCTTGGGGTACGTCATGAATATTTTGAGTTTATCACTTTGTTTATTTTAACCAACAATGCTGAAAGATTTGTGTAGATGTGCATGTATGTTCTCAAACTCTCTAATTCATTGGTTCTGACTCCACAGCTCTTCCTCCTTTGTAATTGCCTACTTGCCACTGAGAAAGAACAGGTGCCGCCAGCGGAAATACCTTATCTAGCTGTGGCATGACTCATAGGAAACGGACAGGAATGGAAGCTGCCAAGAAGGGCGATCATGGAGTGTGGTCGTTGCCTTATGTCGCAGTTACTTTTCGAAGCGTTAGAGCATGCCGGTACTTACAATGGACTAGCGGTACTTGCACAGCTGTTGTTGCAGTGAAGGGATGTTAAATTGTTAGTCCGCTAACAACCTTGATATATCAACTAACCTTTGGTAGCATCACGAATCATTCTTTAAGTTAAACAAATGTTGGTACCGTTTACTATAATTGATGGGTCACTAATCCAAAAAAAAAGATTTTTTTTTTTCATATTCCTGGTTTAATTTATACGGCCAAATATTTATTGTACGTCTGGCTGGAAGTTGACCTGAATTGCTGAACCTACTAGAAATTTGGTGTAAGAGATGCATGATAAATATACAGTTGGACAGCACACTAGATATAAATATATTTTAACTGAAGGTCAGGATTATTACCGGTGACAGTCACTATAATTCATATTATTTTATTTCATATCTTATACCCACATGAGCTTTTGGTGACCTGCGCCGTGTTCATCCCTCTTTCATTGAAAGCTTCTCTGGGCATAAAATATGCAATAAAAGAATATAAATTTAAAATATTGCAATAATCCTGTTCTTCAAAGAATATGTTTTAACTTTGAATTGGTTTATATTTTTAGGTAAACCAGATCTTTTAGTAAATTTTTATCAGTTTTCCTTTTGAATAGACGCCTCTCCGTTTTATTACTAAACCTTACTAACATCTTCTTGTGTTGATTAAACTTCTCACATTATGTATATTGAAAAGTGGTAGATCGAAGGACGGTCGCGTATGGAGATAGGATACAGAGGGAGGAGCATGTGGTTGGTGGCTGGTACCATATGGTATCGAGGTCAGTGTCGGAGTCAGCCGCTTCCTGCCCATTGTCAGCTCTTATCGGCTCTGTCTGTCTGCTTTTTGTCCAGTAGCAGCTGTAGGAAGCACCAAGCAAGTGGAATTTCGTAATCAATTTATTCCCTATAAACGTTAAAATCTTTGTGTTTAAAGGATTCATGTTATTCAATATAGATTCATTAATTTTTTTAAATCCTATAATTCTTGATCTTCAATCGCATCGTATTGAAAAAACACCGTCATGTCATCGTTTTGAATCTGGTAGAGTTGACATCACTGCAGAGAATCCGGCATTTCGCCATTTAATTAAGTACAACAAATTACATTAGAAAACATACAAATTCCGTTTATTGAATTTAGTACATGGAAATATTTGGGTGTAAAGTCTATCCCCACAAGATTGAGCGTTTTGCCCTGCTGAGTGGCAGGACTCAATTCGAGGAGCACTTGGTAATAACATCCGGAACCCAATTCGAGCTCTACAACTTTACGCATTAAATATTCTTGAACCCAAATCTAGTTTATTCTCAGTTGACCTACCTACACCACTAGTCGCAGGTTGAAATGTAGTGAAGTAAGAAGGGATAATTCATTTGGATGCCTTACATGGTCTATATTACACAAATACAGTACAATATTTACAATTTTTCTTCAAATGGACTCATTGGCTCAAGGTAATTGATACTAATTACTCTTCTTGTTGGTACTAAGTACTCTTCAGCACTAGAGGATCCAGGATTTAATTTTGGGAGCCTTTTGACCGAAAGCTTTTATATACCAGGTGTTTCAGAGTTAAGTTGCCAAATTGAAAATACAAATTAAGACCCTCAAAAACAAGAAAACAAATTCCTATGAAGGTATTTCAGCAAACGCTTTGTTGGGGAGATATTCACACCTAAGAATTTTCATTGTTATGAATTATTTTATTATTTCTTATGAGTTATCTATATAAATAAAATAAAGATTTTGTCTGTACATTGAATAGAATCAACCCGTTTTATGATATCTTTCTGTTTCATACATTGCAGTCTGTATGTCCGCATTTCAACGAAATTATGTCAGGGGTAAGCTCAGCAATGGCTTATTGTAGACTTTTGAAATCTTGACATTTTATTAAGATTTGCTTGACTCAAAACATAATCTTTAAATGAAAACAAAATATTGAGGAGAACCAAAGTTATGAATTCTTGAGTAATTTGTCTAGAGATCTCGGCTAATGTTGATAATAAATATTAATAATAAATATATGTTTATAGGTTAAAAATCATCTATATAAATAAAATAAATTTTTGTCTGTACATTAAATAGAATCTTTCCGTTCCATACATTACAGACACCAAATTCACTGTTAAAGATTTTTTGTCTGTCTGGATGTCTGCATTGTCAACGAAATTTTGTCAGGGATAACCTCGCAAATGGCTAATGGTAGACTTTTGAAATTTTGACATAATATTTAGGTTTTCTCGGCTTAAAATATAGGCTTTAAATAAAAACAAAATATTGAGTAGAACCAAAGTTATGAATTCTTGACTAATTTGTCTAGAGATCCCGGTTAGGCAGTTACTTCGCTTCTCATCCCAACTTACTCTATCGCGAGCGACATTTAAAAGTTGTACTACTCAACTGATGGAAAAAATTATCACAACTCCGGAACACCGAACATCTGTAACACGTTGTAGCATAAAGCGAGTAAAACACTGATTTTGGAACTTTGTTCTTCCCGTTCAAGGTGTCATTCGATCCAACTTCTCGAGCCTAACAAATGTTGTCATATACATTTTTAGGATTAACCAAATGGATTAACCGGAAATTAGGAAAAAAAACTCCCGAAAATTTCACCCCGCCCGACCCAATATTCAGATCAAGTTCTCATTTTTCACGGATGTAGGTGACTCAATGTCCAATTTTATTTTGCCAGCGATAAACTCAGCAGAGTTTAAAGAAGTAGAGAGTCTACAAGTCGTTTTGATTAATTAATCGACACCACAATCTCCTTGACAAATTTTAATGGATCGGTGGTTCTGTTGTGTGATACCTAAACAAATAGCCGAATAACAAGGTTTTTGTTATGACTATTGCGAAACCTTGACTTCCATAATCCCCGCCACAAAAAATTTCAAAAAACTCCCTCTTCCCCCTCCCGACCCAATTGTATGAAATTGAATTTGGATCTTCCCCTCCATAATACAAAATCCATCTCAAAAAAGGATTCCCAAATTTTAACTATACACCCGTCAACTACGGGAATATCAGCTAGTATTAGGTAAATAAAACTTATTCATTTGTTCCAACTACTTTATTAATTAAATGCAAACATTAAATTCATACTAAATGTTGTTGAAAGTGATTTCCTTGATCATTAGGCAGGATCGGCATCTTTCTTCTTCCACAGCAGCAGTGGCAGAACGGCATTGAATATGTCTTATTGTTTCAAAAGATTCAATTATCCTTCTTCGTAAAGAATTAAGGAAGTTGTCCGGACTTTTTGTCTAATGTCACGCCAAACGAAAAAATCCAAATCGACCTATTTCCATGAAGCCCTTTCATCAACTCCCGATTCCAAATCCAAATGGCTACTCCTTCGTAAACTCTTCCTCTGTGAACCTTCCAGATCTCCTCCCTCAGCAGTATTTCCAGTTTCACCAGATGATTTAAACTCATATTTTATATCTGCTTCCTCTTCCACTCCTCCTTTCCCTGCTTCCTTCTCTTCTCCCGGTACATCTTTCAACGACGACGACTTTTACTTTTCATACATCTTGCCCATAAACCTCTTATCCGTCGTGATGAAATTACATTCCAATTCTATTGGTCCAAATGACATTCCGGCCAAATTAATCAAACTATGCCTTCCCGAAATCCTTTCAGTTCTCCTATTTGTATATAATTTCTCTCCCCAAAACTCAGTATTTCCTACCTCATGGAAAAAAGCCACCGTTCGTCCTTTAAATAATAACTTCAGTAAAGCGGAAGTCGAACCCGCGCCTTAGTGGTCTAAGCTATCGAGTTGGGACTGCACTAATTTATTTAAGATTATAATCATATCCATGAAATATTTTTATGTTCCATTTCTTCTTTCATATAAGTACAATGAAATAGTATTTTAAGCAATGTCATTGCCTTTTTCGATGGATTTTACTTTTACAAAAAAAAAGTTAAAGTTTACATTTTGTAAGAATATTTCATTTACTTTCCTTTGAAACATGTGATTTTCGTCAAATAATGTTAGTTTTCAGAAATTATTATTTATATTATTTTCGTCACTCTCCCTTACCTTCTACAATTTTATTTATTTGATATTATTTTTTTCTAAAATTCTCCGCTTTCCCGCGATATATTATACGCATACCTTCTGACGGTTGTTTCCGAAGATTCATTTTCAACATGGATAAGCATTTTTTTTCTTTTCTTCAGTTTCCAGTCATCATATTCTTTCATACTTCATATTTAGCAATTTTTTATAGTTACTGTTAATAAAAGAGAATCAATTTTTTTAAATAAACCATATTAAAGGTACTTTAGAGTAAGACGTATATGAAGATTGGACATTTATGCGCTGATAAGTGACATCAATGGGGATAAGACCTAAGTGATATTAAAGACCATCTCATATGCAATGACACACCGAGTTTAATCAAAATCGTTAGAGCCGTTTTTGAGAAAATTGTGAACATCTATTTCACCGTTGATATAAAGTGGCACTTACGGTTAGCCGATTTTAAGGAAAAAGTTGCTGTAACATCTGAGTCAAATACCTATCTTAAATACGTAATACACACACACGCATCCAAACACACACACACATACACGCACAGAGGCCATTTTACAGGACGTGGTTATTTGGACTCAGGGGATCTGAGATTCGAAAATTTACACAATCGCAATACTTATCCTTGCTATATATTACATAATAGATAAGTGAAAGTAAAAATCATATACAGCAATAGTGTTTTATTTGATTTATATGATTTTTAATACATATAAATAAATATTTTATACCATTTTCCCAAAAACATTTTCAACTCATGTAGTCCTCGGCTCAAATCTGATGACGCATCATAAGGAATTGATCGTGTAACATTGGAGGCTGGCGGTTGTTAGAATTCCTAAGCACTCTCCATTGAATCAGTTTATTTAATATGCCTCGTCACCGATGGAGGCATGATGAGACTACACCGTGAGCACCTGGCATAGTAATCCAAGATGCTATCTCCGAATGCAGGCACCGACTACCCAATGCCGAATTTGTATGACGAAAGAGCAATGTGGCTGCAGCGGGGTTTACAAAACTTGAAACAGATGATGACATCGAAACGAAACAGGATACCCCATCATTCTGCAGGAATCTTCCAAATGAAAGTGGACAACAATAATATCCTTAAGAAAAATGATTTTTTGGAATCGAGAACTACCAAGCATGTCGCTCAATCTGATATCTCTCTGAATGTATAAATATTCATACATTCATGTTTATATCCATAAGGAGGTAAAATTTGATCGGTCGAATTACCTTTTCTGAACGGTTGCAATACTGATAATGATAAATGAACAAAACTGGTGACAGTTAATAGTAATAACTGCGTTAATGATATTTTTTTTTTATCTTCAATTCTTCATCCGCACTTGTTATGATAGTGACAATTAGCAGATTTGTTGTTAGGTAGAAAATGGCATGATAGGCATGACGAAGAATTAAACTCAGCAGCACCTCTTTCCTGGTCTGTTTACATCCTAAAATCAGGAAAGGAGATCTCTCATCCAGCTCCTTTTCAGTCGCCTCCTGATGAGCATTTCAGCCGTGGCCATTTCATTGATAAGTCTATTGTGATGTCCGTGTAGTTTAAAATGAAATTGGTAGTAGATAGTACATATGTGTTGACCAATGGTTGGTAGTCTTAGGTCGGTATGCAAAGTATTGTTGTTGACATACCAGGGGGCTGCAGTTATTAGTTTTAAAATTTTAGATTGAAAAGGTTGTATTTTTTGTAAGCGAGTCTTTTTCATTGAACCGTAAATCTGTGAGGAGTATGTCCAAATGGGGTTGAGCAGGTAAATGTATGTATTTAGTTTTGCG